GAGAAACAAAAACATTTATGGAATAAATGGTTAGAAAGAAACAGAAGAATGTCAGAGAAATGGTAAGATGAATAAAAGGAAATAAAAAAAAAAAAAAAAAAAAAANAAAAGGAAATTTTTTTTTTTTGGTGAGGAATTAAATGAAATTTTTTTATGATGAATTTTGTAAAAGAAAATTTTATACATATAACAATAAAATTTTCATGTAATTAATGTTTATATAATTTATTTTGTTTTTGTTAATAAGTATTTGTGTTTATTAATTCAACAGCAATATAAAATAATTGCTGAAAATAACTCATAATAAATAAACTAGTAATTATAATTAATTAATAATTAATGTTAAATAAGTATTTAAATTTTTAATAAAAATGAGGATTTTTATAAAAGTAAATAAATGCCTATTGAAATAAAAGAATGCTGAACGAAGTAGATTATAATTAAAGATCACTTGTTCAAAGCAAATAAAAATATACATAAATATACAAAAATCGTAGAGGCATCTCTACATGCTCTTTATTAATTGGTTTGTCCGGTACTATAGTAAAGTCCCAGAACACCCAGTTAATAAACCACACATTCGTACATCGTCCTTTTTCGTTTCCAATTTCTATTTTCCTATTAACAGATAATTCACTTTCTGCTGAATCTGTTACCCCTTCATCGGATTTCTTATCGATGTCAATTTCTTTCTCCTTAAATATATTATTTATTCTGTTCCTCTTTCTATCCTTCTCTTCGTCACTTCCTTTAGATTTATTTTCTTTATACCTTTCTTTTGTGTTTTCTTTTTGTCTTTCCAGGTGTTCCTATTGTTCATTAAGGTATCTTTGCACTTGGCGTATTTTCTGATGATTCGTTTCATTTTTGATCATTTTAAAATTTAAATAATATCTTTTATCTGTTATTATACCTTTAATTTCATCTTCTTTATCTCGAATCACTTTATTTCTACATACTTTTACTGTGTGTCCTATTTCATTACAGTTTTGGATCTTTTTTATCGGTAAAAAGAGTATCTTTTTAAATGGTTATTCCCTCCACAACAATAACATTTCATAAGACTTTGTTTCTTATCCTTACCAATACTATTCTCTTTTTAGGTCTGATCTGCAGCATTTATGCTGATATTTCGATCCTCATCTATCTTTGTTTCTCTATTTTCTACAGTTAGCAAATATTTTCTTATCTATGTAAAAGGTTTATACATTTCCATCTTCTTATCTAATTATTTTAAGAATTTCTCTGGTATATAACTTTTAAAGCATTTTAAAATATCCTTTCTGCATATGCTATTCTCTTTCTTGAAACATAAAAAGCTAAGAGCATACGAATTACAGTACGTAATAAATGAACTAATAGATTCTTTCACAGATACTTTTTTGGTGCATTAAATAACTTCCTTGCTAAAATGAATTTCTCGTCTGGATATTCAAGCATTACTTTGGCTAATTTAATTTGAAATTGTAACATATCGGTGATTTTTTTGTCTCTTGATAATTTAACTATTTCCTGGTGGTAGATATTTGATGTTAAAGATTCTAATATCATACATGTTTTCACTCTGGATATTCCTTGCATTAATGCGTTCATTTAGAATTTCCTTAACCAACTAAAGTATAGTTCTAAAGAGTTATCACTAAATTTTGGGAGTCCAGGTGGTACTTTAGGTCTTATCTTATATCGATTGTTTCTAATTTCAAATATGTATGAATGATTAAACTCTATTATATTCGTAAGGGAATCTGGTTTAAGGTTGTATAATTCTTTATCCATTTTGAATCGCTAATCCAATGTGGGTTCTGTTTGTGCTGTTTTCGGTTTTCTTGCCGTTGTCGCCAATTGATCTATTAACTGGGGTTTCGGCGACTTTGCTAGAGTACTGAACAAACAAATTAATAAAGAGCATGCGGAGTTTACTCTACGGTTTTGATGTATTTGTATATATTTTTAAATGCATTGAATGAGTGATTCTTAATTATGTGATCTACTTCGTTCAGAATTCTTTAATTTAAATAGGCATTTATTTACTTTAATAAAAATATTTATTTTTATAAAAAATTTATATCTTTATTGAATATTGATCATTAATTAAATGAATATTACTTGTTTCTTTGTTATGAGTTATGTTAAGCTATTAATATATATTGCTGTTGAATTAACATAAACAATTAGGAACAATACAATTTAACTATATAAATATTAATTACGAGAAAATTTTATTGTTATATATGTAAAAGTTTCTTTTACAAAATTCATTAAAATCATACTTTGTTTTCCAAAAAAAAAAAAAAATCATTTTTTTTTTTTTTTTTTAATCTCATTCTTATAGGTAACAGATCTTTTTCCAATTGATTTTTTTTATTTTATCAATTTTTTTTTTCCTGACGGTCTTTTTTTTTTTATAAAAATATAAACAAAAAAATTGATAATTTTTTTTTTTTTTTTTTTTGTGTGCATTATGAACTAAGTATTCTTCATATAAATAGTACTTTTATTTTCCAAAAAGGATAATAAAGCCTTTTATTAACCATTTACAGAATGATAGAATTCATTTAAGAGCAATGCAGTAACATGCAGGATAATTAAAAAGTATATAATGAGATATATGTATGAGAGCACTAATAATAACTTTTGCATGTAGAGAAATAAAATACAAGATAATTTGTGGTTAAAAGAATATTTTCTCAAATTTAGCAGAACAATGTATAAAATAAATGGTATTGTTAGCATATTCATAAAAAAACATTACGTATGCATTTTTATTTTTAAAAAAAAAAAAATTTTATTTTTTTTTGGATTTTACTACTCAGACAACCTATGAAATTTTAATAAAAAATAAATGGCAATAATTTTATTTTTTATTTTTTTTTTTAATAGAAAAAATTTTCATCTTAAAAACAAGAATAATAATTTTTTTTTTTTTTTTTGGTGATGCATTGGGTATTATTCTTTTTTGCATGAAAGTTTAAATAACATAACCTTATATATTACATTTGTATTATATATATTAGCTAAAGCAATTAATAATAGAGTTAAAATTTAATATTAGTTAATAAAAATAATTTATTTATGTAATGATTTATTTTATTCTAAATGAAATAATTATAGTTATATCTAGACTCTATATATTTAATTTATTTGTACCACATTAGAAAATTTATTATACAAGAAATTAATAAATGAATATTATAACAAATTTATTGAATGAGTAAATTAATGAATCAAATAACTAAACATATAACAATGCTTAAGTTTATTTCT